TCTGGTATCAGTCTGATTATTATTTCTTCACAAGTAAGTTATTTTTGCCTAGAAGCCTATAATTCTTTCCCGCATTATACAACACCTAGGTGTCTGTTTTCTCATCAGTCCAATCTGGGTCTCTGAGAGCCCTTTCAACTTGCAGAGAAATTTTCTTTTATCAGTGTTTCTTGCCTTTACCCTTATCTGAAAACAATAAGCCATTATTTCTCCTAACCAAGTGTGGGATGCAGAATTCTAAGGCCCTCAAGATTCCTGCTCCTTAATATCTATACCTTGCAGGACGGACCTCCTGCCCTTGAGAATAGTCAGGATCTGCGAATATGATGGTAGCAGTCACTCCCTTGATTAGCTTACATGATAGGAGACTGTTGCAGCAGACCGAAAAGGCATTTCCCTGCTGGCTGAGAAGTAAACTGCGATGTTGTGAGAGGGTCACATGGCTAGAATCTAAGGGCAGCCTAAAGATGCTGAGAGTGAGCCCTAGCTAAAAGCTGGCAAGAAAATAGGGACTTAAGTCCCACAACTGCAAGAAACTGAGTAAGGCCAACCACTAGTGAGCTTGGAAGAGGCCTCTGTGCCTTGGATGAGATCATAGCACCAGGTGACATTTTCATTTTAGCCTAAAGACCCTAAGTGGAAGACCTTACTTATTAGTGGCTGAATTCTTGACTCATGAAACTGTTAGATAATAAATTTGTGGCATTTTAAGCCATTAAATTTGTGGTAATCTATTATACAAAAATAGAAAGCTCAAACAAGACACTCTTGTTTCCCCCAACAAGGTGTACTATTTCTTCCCTGTAGTAGGAGGAGACCTTCCACTTTCTGCTGCTTTTCCTCCTTTGTCCTACCTTTTCTACTATTAAGGACCCCAAGAACACTCTATACACTAATTGCTGTCTGTAGGGCTGCTGTAACCAAGTACCAAAACTGAGTGGCTTGAACAACAGAAATTTGTAGTCTCACAATTCTGGAGGCTACAAATCCAAGATCAAGGTGTTGGCAGAATTGGTTCTTTTGACGGCTGTGGGGAAACAATCTGTTCCATGCTTCTCTCCTAGCTTCTGGTAGTTGACTGGCAAATTTAAGCTTTCCTTAATGTATAGAAGTCCCACCCATCTCTGCCTTCATCTTCAAATGGCATTCTTCCTGTATCTCCAAATGTCTTTAAGGACATCAGTCATATTGGATTGGGGTCCACCCTACTCTAGTATGACTTCATCTTAACTACTTACATCTGCAATAACCCTATTTCCAAATAAGGTCACATTCATTCTGAACTGGGGGTTAGTACTTCATTTTATGAATGGGGGGAGCATAATTTAACCCATAACACTTTTATATCTTTCCTCTTTCTTTTAGGTTTAGCTGAGACAGTATACAGTTGACCCTTGAACAACACGGACTGAACTGCATGGGCTCACTTATACATGGATTTTTTTACAGTGTTGTCCATGTATTTTCTCTTCCTTATGATTTCCATAACATTTACTTTTCTCAATTTATTGTAGGAATGGTGTATATTACACATAGCATACAAAATATGTGTTAACTGACTGTTGTTGGTAAGGCTTCCAGTCAATAGTAGGTTATTAGCAATTAAGTTCTGGGGGAGTAAAAAGTTCTATTAGGATTTTTGACTACATGGAGGGTCAGTGCCCTTCACCCCCGCATTGCTCAAGCATCAATTACAATAGGTTTTACAATATTCCTTGCACTGTGTCCCTCTTTCCAAGAGTTTTTTTTTTTTTTTAAGATTTCTGAGAGTACATGCCTGCAGGGTAGGGGCAAAGGGTGGGGGGACAGAGGGTGAGGGAGAGAAGCAGACCCCTGCTGAGCATAAAGCCCGATGTGGGGCTCAATCTCATTAACCTAAGCCAAAATCAAGAGTTGGATGCTCAACTGACTGAGCCACCCAGCTGCCCCCCAAGAGCTCTTAAGTAATAATTACACAACACAGGGGCATCTGGGTAGCTCAGTCAGTTAAGCATCTGACTTCGGCTCAGGTCATGATCTCAGGGTCCTGGGATTGAGCCCCACATCTGGCTCTGCACTCAGCAGGGAATTTACTTCTCCCTCTCCCTCTGCCTCTCTCCCCTCCCCCAGCCTGTGCTAGCTCTCAAATAAAATCTTTAAAAAAAAAAGTTATACAACACATTCCTATCTTGATAGATTCCTATCTATTAAGATTGAATGCGTGCATAACCCCTTCGTGGGAGGGTCACTGATCCCTTGTTTCCTTTCCTCCCACATCTTGGGACCTCCATTGTCTCATTTGTCTTCTGGTTAGAGTATTAATGTTCTTGAAGTTTTACACATCCTTCCGTATTTTTTTTAATAAACTGAAAGGTGTGTTTGGTCTGTATACATAGGACTCTAGATTTGTACTCCTTGTTGCTCAGTAACATGTATGTGCTTTCTATCTCTAGTTTCCACTGCCACAAGAGAGAAGTCTGGTATCAGTCTGATTATTATTTCTTCACAAGTAAGTTATTTTTGCCTAGAAGCCTATAATTCTTTCCCGCATTATACAACAC